ACTCCTCCCTACTACTACGATCTGGGAAACCATAAAAACCCGTCATCCTCCAAGGCGCAAAACCATCAATTCGTATTACTACATCAACGTGATTCCTGGAGTAACTTAGCAGATTAACTGTATTATTCGTTCTCCATAATAGGGCCAAACCACCACTCAATCCCCTATTATCCACATAGAATAAGCCTTGAAAACCCAGACTCACACGCACCCGCTCAGCATGTTCCCTACCAACCTTCGTTTTCATTAGAAAAATAAAATCGGGCTTCTTCCTGGACGCCATATCCACTATAATTCTAGGTTAAAATTCATATTCTTCCAAAAGGTTGAACCCAAACCCTAAGGGCCCCACACACCCCGACCCGACATAGCATTTGGGAGGATGTAAATCATGGAAACTCAACTAAACATGAACCACAGAGGCTAGACCTTTGCTCACTGCGCACAAGGAACCCCCTCACTTTGAGCTCCCACACTGCCGCTGGTGAGAAAAATTCATATTCTAATATTATAAAATAGTGTAATACAATTACTATTCTAATCTATACTTCTATACTATATATAAAAACAAAATCCTGAACTTTAACTTCCCGCCAAATTCCTAAAAAAATCTCTCTTTCTAATAAAAAAATATTGTTTTCTACTTTCCTATTCCTACTATAATTCTAGGTTAAAATTCCTATTCTAATATCATAAAATAGTGTAATACATTTCCTAATAGAATATATTATTTCCTACTTTCGTATTCGTACTATAATTCTACATTAAAATTCCTATTTGTAATACAATAGGACAATATATATATATATAAGTAAAATCCTCCCTCTAGCATTTTTCGGCCCAAACTTATTGTACTGGTCAAATTATTTTAGTATGGTAAACTAGGGAATAATTAATGATGGTAATAGAAATCCTTGAAGAATATATAGAATACAAGAATATTATATTTAATAATAATAATCTTACATATAATAAAGCTATATGGTTGGGAAATAATTAATGTTATAATTAATTACCAACATTATTATTATTACTAGCTATAAATATAAAATAGCCACAACATCTTTTACTATTAAAAAAAAAAACACAACATTTGAAAAATAAAATAGTTATTTTTTTTTCTCGCCCATAACAAAGGATTACATTTATTGAATTAATGAAGTTATTAAATGTTATGATATTAGGATTAAGGATTCCGATTCCCGATTAATAGAAAATATGAAATGATTCAATATTAGTTAAATCTCTGGCTTTACAATGAAAGTCTATTTGATATGCTTTTGTTATTTATGGTGGTTCTTGTGATTACAATATTAATTAAATTTTCGATGAAAGCCTGTTCAATATCTGAAACAGTGCAATTAATGCAAGTCTCTACATATAATTTTTCTCCATCTCAAATGCTTCAAAGAAATGGCAGAAGTGAGAAGGGATGACGAAAGCAAATGTTGCGGGCCGTGGATCAATTATTGGACTTCATAATTAAAAAAACAAAAATCATTTAAGCCATAAATAAAAATTTAAATATATATAAATGTATATATCGTATGAGTCTTTAATGTTTTTCTGGATGTCTAAACTTAGAATTTTTAAAAGAAAAAAAATACATTTAAATTATCTCCACAAAAAGTGGTCTTGGACTTATAAAATGACATTTGAGTTTATGGAATGCCATGTGCATAAAGAATATATTATATAATCATATAAAAAAAATGTGTTCAATTAGAGTTTAAATTTACTCATACAAAATTTGAAATTTGCTTTCTAAATGTAATTATCTTAGTTATTATTCGTATTGTGAAAATTATAATATAGATGAAATACAATTAAGAATAAATCAATGTAATTATGTAAATTCTCTCTATAAGTTTATTTGAATATGTACATAATTATAGATTATATTAATCATACAAAATTTTAATTATAATTTTGTATTCTATAAAAATAATAAATACTTGACCAATAGAAGCTCAAAAATATTATTATATTAAAAAATTTAAAATATTTTTATTTTTTCTATTTTTATTTATATTTATAATAACATAAATTTTTCCCCGTGCATCGGTGAATTACTAGTAATAATAATAATAATAATAATAATAATAATAATAATATTATTATTATTATTATTATTATTATTATTAATGGGTAATAATAATATCTAAAAGTAATAAAGTGTCAATAATAATAATAATAATAAGAATATTAACGTAAGAATTATAACATAGAATAAAACTTAAAAGTTAATATATATATATATATATATATATATATATATATATATATATATATATATTGTTCGGGTATAATAAAATTATATATAATTATGTGATGATGATCCAAACAACACTACATGCAAAAAAAAAAAAAAAAAAAAGGAGAAAGAAGACAAAGGGTCCCCTTTGTAAATGATGTGCAATCATTTTTATCCCACATCAAAAATGTTATGAAAGAAGAGCTCTTGAGGTCCTATAAGGGGAGCAATGTTCCTCTTACAAACATAATTGTTTGCCCATTAATGTGAGCAAATATTAAGAAGTCAAAAAATTCTTATTTAAGAAGTCTTAGCTTAATGACTTTTTATTGAAGTTTTTTTTTTTTTAATTTTATTATTTATTATTTATTATTAGAGGGATTTGGGAAAGATTAACCCAAAATGTCTATGTGTTGTTTTTGTTTTTAGTTGGAGTAAAATTGCTGAGTTATTAAATAATATTTTTTGTGTTTTGATTAAAGACAAAATATTAAAATGACGAATGTGTTAAAATATTGACAAATTTGTCAATAATCAAACAATGCCATTATCTAATAATTATTATGCAATTTAACAAATTAATTGTATAAATATAAAAGTTCGTTTGAAAAGTAAAAAAATAATTTCTGAAAAATGAGTTATTTTTCAGAAAATATTTTTCTTTTTAATTTTTGGTTGCACAGCAAAATTTATATTATTATTGTTATTATTATGTAATAATGTAATAATAAAATAAAATTATAATAATAATAATATCAATATTAATTAATAATATAATAATAATCAAAATATTTTTTTTTTTAAAAGACAAGGCGGAACCACAAGCCCCCCTTTGTAAATGATGTGGGATCATTTTGATCCCATATCGAAAATGTTTGGAAAGAGGAGCTTTGAGCGATGCTACTCTTCCAAACATAATTGCTTGCCCATCAATGTCGACAAGTATTGAGAAACCAAAAGACTTATTTATTGAGCAATTATTTGTACAAATTCAAGCAATGATAACATAAAAATACATAAACGATCCAAACCATATCTTTAATTGCACTATAATATTTGATGTTCTATACTAAATAATTATATATCTATTCAGATATTCTTAATATATTACAACAAATCCATTCCGTGCATCGCACGGGTGAAAATACTAGTTAATACTAATAACAATATATATAAGTGCGGGTGCGGCGGGTATACAAAATTCCGCCCATACTCACACGCATTACCCAAATTGTGTGGGTATTTTAAAACCCGTATAGTAAGAGCGGGGATGCGAGGAACCCATTAGGTGCGGGTAGAATTGTCATCCCTAATCAAGGCCACAATCTCTGCTATCCTCTCCCATAATATCATTAGGAGGGTCAGCCATGTCTAGGAAGCCATTGTCATCGTCTAGAGGTTCTAGTCGCGGGTGGTGTCACCGAATCATCCTCATGGTGTTGAACCACCATTCTGGTTATCAGCTTTCCCTTTGCTGTTCCGCGGACCACAACATGGTCCGCTTTGGTTGCTACTCTTCTTGGCATGTCTTCTTTGCCTCCTCGTCCTCTATAGCTTCCCCGGAATGAACCTCGACCTCTCCTGGGGTAATCACTGTGATCATCATTCCAATTGTTTCCTTCTCAAAGGGTTGCATTGCCTTTACTTGCATGGCCGATTGCCTTCGATGCTCTTGTGGTCTTGTAGTAATTTGTGCCCCCCAACTAAATTATCAGCGTGATGGTTAGCCTCCTACCCATATGCGTTGTCTTTCAAACTCTGTAGAGGAGCAAATCGAGAGGGTGTTGTTAGTTTTTGCTGGTCAGTGGTTTCGATCAACTCCTCATCAAAGTACTCATTGGAAGAGATGAGAGTCGTACCTAAACTAGAAGTTTTTTAGTCCGTGCAGTCATAGGGTCAAAGTCTGAGGACCATTTTTGAACAACAAGATAGTGATCCAAGATCATTCAGGGCCTTTGAACTTGGCAAAATCGTAATCCAGCTGCGATTCAAACTTGACCAGAAAATATTCATGTTCTAACGCGATTAGTTCCAAATGGTCATCAGGTTTCCATAAGCTTTGCAATCGACGTAGAAGGTATGTGTAGCGGTTGTAGCCCACAAAGTGTCATAGCACTCTGATGATGAGGGAACGACGCCAAGGTCGCCTAATTCTTGCTTTCTCTGCCTTTGAAATCTTGATTAATGGACAATCAACATCGACTTTCTCCTCATCAATATCTTCATCATTAGAGACAATTTCTTCATCCAGTCCCTTATCATGTATGTGCCCTGGCCTGCCTTTCCCCACGTAAAGATTACTTGTACGTAGCCGACAACGAGGGAATAGTAATTGGCAATGGTCCTGACATCACTGCTAAGGGCGTTTCCTGCACCACATCCACCCTTGGGGTAGGGATGTTGTTGTCCGGTGGTTCTCCCGTATGCTTAGATTTCTTGGTACTTCTTTCTAAAAGATCTTGATATTCCAATGAACATACACACCCCTTAGACGACTTAGTTCCGGAGAGTTCTATCGTTTCTTATATTTTCTTTCAAAATATAGTAAAAATTTTAAATCAGAAAATTTTCAAATAATAAATTAATACTCCGTATTAAATTATTTTCCAACAAAAGAAAAAGACGTGAAATTCAAATCCTATTCCAATTTCGAAACCAACATGTGGTCAAATTAAGGGAAAAAAAAAAACCATCCAACGGCTGTGCATTAGCTAGTTTGCCTATTTATAGGTGACGCCCAAATTAGATCAGATCGTAACCCCTCAACGGAAGCGCCAAAACCCTCCAAAACTCCAATACAGGCTTATTCTATTCTAACCTCAGTGAATTTACCTTCGAAATTTCGATATAGACAAAAAACAGCAACTATATTCATATATGCTCAGATTTTGTATATATATACATATTTGTCTGTATATTTGAAGTAGTAGAAGGATTTGGAATTGGAGTGGAGGCGATTCGCGATGGAGCTTCAGAACACTGTGAAGGAAGCCCTAAATGCACTGTACCATCACCCGGAAGACACCGTTCGCATGCAGGCCGATCGATGGCTTCAGGACTTTCAACGCACAATCGACGCTTGGCAGGTTTGATACCGAAACTTCCCCTACTGGATCAATATCTCTCCATTTGGACTTCCTTGGTAAAATTTAGTTGTTCGTGTCGTCTGTTAAATGATTGGTTTTAAAATAAGGATTTTTTTGGACTTGATAAAATATTGAGTAGTATAGAATTTGAAAATTTAAAATTTATTGCTTAATCTGCTCTATAAACGTATTTTTTTTAGTTATTTCATATTTGAAGCTGAGATTTTCTAAAGTAGCTTCCCTTAGCTGTAAATGTAGTATAAAGGAATAAATTTGAAGTGTTAATTTTGTTTTAGAGAAAGTATTGAGTAGTACAGAATTTGGAAATTGAATTTTAAGCTGGCTGAAATTGGATTTTTTATGTAACTTATAGCTTAAATTTGCTAAAGTTTTTTTTTTTTTTTTTTTTTTTTTTGGGTAAGTGCAATATAACAGAATCATTTGATTTCTGAGTCTATATCTGTGCCTGTTTTTTGAAAAAAAGGGGGAGGGCGGGAGAGTGGAGAGGAGTTGTTGGTGGCTAGTCTAGCAGGTCAATTTTCATTCTGATTGAGTTTGGGTCTAAACTGTATGTAAGATTAGAATTAGATAACGACATGAGGGGCAAACAGTAAGTGACTGGCTTACTGTTGGCATAATGTATTATTTTCCTTTCCTTTTCTATCATTTTATTATACAGTTGCATTTAAAAGGTTGGCCTTAGTGCAGTGGGCAAATGCTCACTGCTTTTGTATCTACATTTTTTCAATTTAGGATGACAATATCTTTTTGGTACATCTGAGGGAGTAGGGGGTCGAGCTGTGATATTCAACCTGGAGAGATAGGTTTATGCCATTCTTTGACCATATGGTCTTTGGCTAGGTCTCTAGGATGCCAATATGATCCTTCTTGTTTCAAACCTAACCCTTCTCTTAAGGGTTATTGCTGAAGTTATCATTCAGATAAATAAAGAAAGTTACCAGATATTCAGATTAAAACCCAATATTCAGAGGACAAAAATCTGTCTTTTGGTGAACTAACCAGCAACATGAGTGTTGATATCAATTGTACTTCTAGTTAATGATTTTGTTATTGTTTTTTTTTTTTTTTTTTTTTTTTTTGGTTAGGTGGCTGATAATTTGCTTCATGATTCTTCTAGCAATCAAGAGACTTTAATTTTCTGTTCACAAACTCTCAGAAGCAAGGTGATCTTATTATTATTATTATTATTATTATTATTATTATTATTATTATTATTATTATTGGGTATTTTAACATAAATTCATAGTACTTTTGAAAATGAGTTTAGTTATGGTATTCAGTTTTTGTCAACATTTGGTATAATAATTCTATTTAGGTTCAACGGGATTTTGAAGAACTACCATCTGAAGCTTTTCGTCCACTTCGCGATTCTTTAAATGTGAGTGATTTTGTTGTTTGCTGGATATCATCTGTATCACCTTTCTCTACAGAGTACAGAGAGGAAACTTTTTACCGTTCTTGGGGAATTGGATGCTGCATAATTAAAAATTGTATGATGCCGACTTACATCCATGGACTGGATTTAGGACTCTGTCTTATGATTCAGGAGTGTTTTAGTTACAAATTTGTAAATAACTCAAGTTATTAATTTTGATGCATTAAAAATTGTATAATCCTATAAATGGTCAGTGAATTACATGCCGCCACATCATTAGAAAGTCGGCGAAACCCTTATTTGACTTAACTTTTTAATGAGGTGGCAGCATGTGGTTCATTGACAGTGTGTAGAATAGTTCTGCAATACATTACTAGTGCATCAAATATTAACTCTATTCCCGATCTAAGGGTCAAATAAGCACTCCAACTATAGCCAAAACAACAATTAAACACTCAAACTTCAAAAGTTTCAATTAAACCATTGAACTCAATAAAATTAAGCAATCCGCCCACTTTTTCTGATTTTTGCTTGTTAACTTCTGGTTGAATGCCACGTAATTCTTATATGGCTTACTTGGCATGAAAATTATTAATAATATTTTTAAAAATTTTGTTTGATCTTTTTTCTTTAATTTTTTTAATTTTGTATGCAGAAAAAAACAAAATTGTAGATATTAACTTAACTTGCCACCACCTTGACATTGCCGCTGCCCTCCTGGGGGAGGCAACAGGTGTCACCATCGCCTCCTTCCAGATCTAGAGGAGGCGATTAGTGTAACTGTCACCTTCTTCCAGAAGAAAGAGGGAGGAGATGCTGTCGCCTCCTTCTAAATCTGGAAGAGGCGAAAAGCTTTGTTGTTGCCTCTTCCAAGAGAAAGGAGACGATGCTGTTGCCTCCTTCTAGACCTGGAAGAGGTGACGAGCTCATTGCCTCCTTCCAGATTTGGAGGAGGCAACGAGCGTGAGGCCTCTTTCCTAGAAGAAGAAGGCGCTGCCATTAGCAGCAGCGGTTGTGGTAGAGGCCGCAGGGTGATGAAGATGATATTACTATTATTATTATTATTATTATTACATTGAAAATTGAAAATGTAGTCCATGGAATGTGGATGACATTTTAGCTAAAATACTACCCAAGTAAGTAAAATGTTGCCATGTCATTATTTTTTTTTACCAGTAATCGTTGTTTAGTGGTAAAAATGGCTCAATTGCACCTTTTCTTTATGTTCAAGGGTGCAAATGGAGCTTTTTAAAGTTTAAGGGCTTATTTGCTGTTTTGACAATAGTTGGAGGGCTTATTTGGCCATTATCCCTATTTTTAATTATTTGCATTTAAAGAAGGAAAATAAGCATGAAGATAGCACATCGATGTTTTTACACTCTTAAGTTGAAAGTATGGGCTTCTATTCCTTTTTAATTTCATATAATCCATATTAAACCGTCTCTAATAGCAATAGTCAAATGTATGATGTTTGGGATGATATTACACACTGACACATGCAGAAGAATTGAAGAACTGAGGTGATTAGAAATAAGAATATTGTTTAAACCTCAGGACTGCATTGACTCAGAGACCTGGATCAATACAAATTTCGTCCAAAAGTTTGTGTGTCAAATATTACCATGCGATGCTTTTTAGTTTCATATTATAGCCATACTAGATATCACAGATTAATACTAATATAAAAAAAGGGATATGGTGGATTACTGAATTGTTCTCTGACTTGCATATCTTTTTTTATTGAAATATTGGATGCAGACCTTGTTAAAAACATTTCATAAAGGCCCTCCAAAAGTTAGAACTCAGGTAACATTTACATTTTTTTTTGAACACTTGATTTGAAAATTTTAATCACTAAGGTTCAATACTAAAGTTTCTTGATAATATAGATCAGTCTTGCTGTAGCTGCATTGGCTGTTCATGTACCTGCTGAAGATTGGGGAGATGGTGGCATAGTAAATTGGCTGAAAGATGGGATGAATTCTCATCCTGAGTTTATACCTAGTTTTCTTGAAGTTCTAAGAGTCTTGCCAGAGGTATTTGAAAATTATCTAGAGTTAAACAAGATTATTATTATTATTATTATTATTATTATTATTATTATTCTTGTTGTTGTTGTTGTTATTATTATTATTATTTGTTGAGAACAGACTGTTTATTCTAGATGAAGTTGTCCTGTAACGTTGAGAAAATGTGACCTTTGTCATATGTTGATCTTAGTGTATAATATTGTTGCGTGAAAACTGCAGCTATGAATTGAAGGATGAAATAAAACATGAATTGATGATAACATGTTGGCGGAATAATCTAATGCTTTAATTTGTAATTAGTTTATTAGTTTACAAGTCAGGTTAATTATGTCTTTTTTGCTTTTTCAAAAATTTGTTAACTATAAAGTAACAGCAGAACATATCTAGAGTCTCATTTCATTTGACTTGGTACTGTTATCATCTTCTTTAACTCTGTGAGCATTTCTTAGACTGTGAGTTCCCTATTTTCCTTCCTGAACTGTTAAAGCTCAATACTGCCTAACCTGCTAGATTTTTCCTTTTAATATTTGCTATGCTTCTTGTTTTCGTGACCAGGAAGCATTCAACTACAAGATAGCTGCTCGCCCTGATAGACGTCGCCAGTTTGAACAAGAACTTGCTTCTACAATGGATACTGCCCTTACTGTTTTGTCTGCATGTTTGAATATCAATGAACTTAAGGAGCAGGTATTCTTTGCTTCTCTTCTTCACCCTACATACCATTTTCTTAATGAGGGAAAAATCCTGAGTCAATAAACTTCAATGAATGTGACTAGCAAAAGGATTTCTTTGTTTTGTATATAGTATATTAAATAGCATACACAGCGAGGTTGGGATTTATGCTTAGTTGAGTTACGATGAGTCGATGAGTATATAGTATCTTTGGTCATGCCTAAAGCATGACTATTTTTTAATCATCTTATGTCCTCCATCTCTTTGCTACTTGCCTACTTTATTCTTTCTAATTGCTAAATTGTTTTGAAGTTGGACTATTTCAATAAAACTTGCAAGAGTACCAATGCATGATGTTTGTCATCTTTTTAAGCTTGGTAGTGTGAAATAAATTATATTATAATAGATTGCTGATGTTTAATATCTTCTATTTCTTTGTAACTTGTTCTTTAACCTTTAGGTCCTATATTTAGACTTGCACCCCCTGCTATCATAATAATCTTTGCAGTTTGAATCTTCTGGAGCTTGATGAGTAAAATGAACTATGATTTACCCTAAATAAAGTGGGGCCTCACTCATGTGAAGGCATTGATAGAATCTTTATTGGACTTCATTTTTATAATAAGTTCTTGATCCTTGGTTGACATTTTTCTTCAGATAATCTATTAAAAATAAAAACCACACATTTTCAGGTAATGAAGTCTTCTGATTATCATGATTTTTATTTTCATCACAGGTCCTTGAGGCATTTGCTTCTTGGCTGCGTCTAAGGCATAGGTATACTTGTCTTCTCTATATCTCCTAGCAGTAGTGTTAAACTTAGGCCATGCTTGAATTTTATCTATTTACTATTGAATTATTATCTTATACTAGTTTTGCTGTTTTATTTTGTTAATCTGTGGTGTGACTTGTGTCTATGATTGTTGCCCTTGGAAATAAATTGAGAATTTCTAGCTGAAGAGATTCCAAGGTTAATTTTATTTTAGTGGTTGTTTCCTATCTCTCAGTCACAAATTTATATATGAATTTAGGTTTTAAGTGTTGGGGGTGCATGTTAGAGATGTTGTATTATATATGTATTTGGAACTGAGAAATTATCTCAAGGTGCATCTTATGCTAATGCTATTTTGTTGCTATATATTTAATGTTCAACAGTTGTTGGTTAGTTTGCACAACTTTGTAATGAAGCTGTGTCAGAATACCATAAGACAATGGCAGCTTTATGTTTTTTTATTTGCTTGTTTGGGGTCTGGGCTGGTGTAGTTGGGACCTTGGGAGGACTGCATTTGGATAATTAAAATTCTCTTGGGCGGAAACTTGATTAAGTGTTTAAACTTTTTATTGGTTTCAGGATTCCTGCAGTTACTCTTGCTTCACACCCTTTAGTTCTTGCAGCTCTCTCTAGCTTGCATTCAGATATGCTGTTAGAGGCATCCGTAAATGGTAATATCAATAACTTGAGATGGTTTTCAGTTTTTCATTTCTAAACATCTCAGGAAACTTCTGTTGATCCTGTGAATCTTTATATTGAATTTTAATTGATGTTCTCTATTAAGGTTAAGAGATTATGTAATGCTACGCAGTGTCAGTTTTCAAGTCCACTTCAGATATGTGTTCAGGGACACTGAACATGTCCTACATTCTTGACTTCATTCTCAACTTTTTAGATAAACATTAGCTAACCGATTTTATTTTTTATTTTTTTAGTAAGAAGATCGAATCTAAAATTCTGATACAGTTTGAGTTAGTCTTTGTGAGTTTATTACTTGGGGCTCCTTTATTACATGGGCTTCAGGTCTTAGTGTCTTACATCTGTTTAGGACAGTTCTTTAGATTTAAAATAGAATATTATGGATGCGCTTTCTCTCTCTGGTTTCTTAAAGGCTTGCCTTTTGTAATTTCATCAGAATATGTATGCTCATTTCATTCAAGTTTAGATGCCTTCAATATTTATTGTATTTTTTGCAGTCGTTTCTGAATTAATACACTACACTGCCGCAAGAAATTCAGGTGGAGCTTCCTCGCAGATGCCTTTGATTCAAGTAATTGTTCCTCAAGTTATGAGTCTAAAACCTCAACTTAGAGATCCTTCCAAGGTATTGATGATTTAGTAGGATTTGCAGTTTATTTACTGGTTAGATGGAGTTGTTCTGCCTTTTTAACTGCTAGTTGATTTTTTTCATATTAAATGTGTTCGGAATATTTTTCATTGGGCGGGGGGGGGGGGGGTGTGGTCTTTTAGGTCAAGTAATTGTGAAGAACAAATTTCCCCTAGTAATAGTGTTATAAAACAACAGTTTGTTTACTGGTGCGATGGTGTTTCTGCTTTTATGCATTCCTATTTTTTTTTTTTTTTTTTTGGAGGGGGGTGGGGTGTTAAAAGTGCGAATTATTTCATGGATCATGGATGGTCTATTAGGTTAAGTAGATGTGAAAAAAGAATGTTTCCCCAAATAATACTGTTATTAAACAACATATGCTTTCTTCTGATCTCTGTGATTGAAGAGGGTTGGCTAAACTACCCTACTGGGAATAAGATAGGTTGAGGGGATGTGATATTGTGATGGACACCTTCTCAGTTAGTTCCTTCCATTGACCTGACCCAAATTTGAAGTCCACCCCCTATTTCTTCAATATTGGTAGTTACTTTTTCACAAGGTTTTCCTAGATTAATGTAACATTCTTTTAAGCGCTTCTTAAAGTTGTCTAATAAGAACTTTGGAAATCAATAAAACAGTTTGTGTTCTACTTTTTATTGTGGAAGTTCCACACAATACCTATATTGTTAGCTACTGTCATGTGCATTTTGCTGGGGGCTCTTTTTATATTTATTTTTAATGTTCACTAATTGGAAGGGTTGCAAATTTATTATTTATTTATTTATTAATTATTATTGTTATTATTATTATTATTATTATTATTATTATTATTATTATTATTATTATTTTGTTTCTTGTTTGATAATTCAGTAAATATGGAAGGGATGCCATCACTTCTCTGATGCATGAAAACTTCTATTGTTATTGGATGTAGAAGTTCTAGTCTTAGATATTCTTTTCTTTTTCTTATTCATCATCATCATCATCTATCTGCTATAGATTGATTGCTTGAAAGAAATTTGTATTGACATGACACTGATGCATCACTTGAAAGAATCTCTATTTAAGACCATGAAGTTTCTTTTTTTGGGATAAAATTTATAAACTCCATATTTGTTTCAACTTTCAGGATGAGGAGGATATAAAAGCCATTGCTCGTTTATTTGCTGATATGGGTGATGCATATGTTGAATTAATTGCGACTGGTAGATATTTTCTTTTGCTATAAATGTCTTTTGCCTGGGATGTTGTGTTCAGGAAAAAATGCATGCGACAGAGAATGAATACTATAATTGCATATGTTCATGAATTGAGTATATGATTATCTAAGCATATGACAGAGAATGAGTACTGTTTTCAGGCTCTGATGAATCCATGCTGATTGTGCATGCACTACTTGAAGTTGCTTCACATCCAGAGTTTGATATTGCTTCCATGACATTCAACTTCTGGCATAATCTTCAATTGGTGTTGGTTGAAAGGTGAATCAATGACTGCTAATTGAGTTCCTTTCTTAGACTATCTGCTATAAAATGAATTTTAACTCTACAATTTTAATATTATAGGGATTCCTATCAAGAGTTTGGTAATGATGCAGCAAGAGAAGTTGAGAGAAATCGCAGGTTGCAGGTCTTCCGTTCATCATATGAGTCACTTGTTTCATTGGTGAGTCCACTACATAGGAATTTGCTATGAAATGATTGCTATGTGCATCACTTATTGCTATATTTTTATTTGGAAAGTTTCAGTTTGATCTATAGCTTGTGGCTCTTATTCTCATTTGTGAGTAAAATAGTTTAGCAATTTATTTTGTTAGCTGGAAAAGTTATGGGGTGTATTTATTAACTGGAAAAATTCCCATTTTTCTGGAAAAATAGAAAATGGAAAACAGAAAATGTGTTTTTTGGCTTTTTGCACTGTTTTTTCGTCTGGAAAACAGTTTTCCATTGTTCCAGCTTAACAAAGTAATTCGGAGAACCTTTTTTTTTTTTTTTTTCTTGTTTTCTAGATACAACACACATAACTTCATCTATAATCATCATTATCATTATCTACGAACTTCCACTTTGTCTATATATGTACTCTTATCACCTACCTGTCTATCTGCCTCTACCACCACCTATTTACCCCACCATCACCTCTATCTACTTACATGTCTTCCTATCTATTTTCACAACTAAAACTATATCATTACCTTCTGCTCTTACTTTGCACATCATAATTTATTTATTTCATTCCCCATCTATTTTTCCTAACATAACCTACTTGCACTTACGGTTAGACATTCATATCCACCGAATTAAAACTCGAAATCCAAATTGGACTTTTGATTTTGGGTGAATTTGGTATGTTATTGGTTCAGTATTCTTAATTGTGGTATGTCTGGATATAAATACACACATATATAAAATGAATAATTAATTGAAATATTTTTCACCCAAACTGAACATATCCAAAAACGTTTAAGATATTGAGTCTAAAAAATATAACTTGATTTAATATATATATATATATATATATATATATATATATATATATATATATCCAAAGTAAAATTCAAATATCATTGACCTGACCTGACCCACATGTTTGCATCACTCATTATTATCACTACTATTTGCATGTTAATATGAAGAAAATAATTGGATTTTAAATAACTTTGTATTTTCTGACTTTGAAAATGACATGGAAAATAGACACTGATGAGCATGTTTTCTGTTTTTCTAATGGAAAATAAAAGCTGAGCAAATTGTGGAAAAAGAAAATAGAAAGATGAACTAAATCTGCCATATAATGTTTCTAATGTTTCTTTGTTCAGAGGTTGTGCTGGTGCCGTTGGTTCTTCATTTATGTTTATTCATAATCATATTTCTAGTTTGTACATGATATTTTTCTGGCATAGAGTTGGACTTTGAATCATCCTTTCGTATTTTTGGGATTGTTAAGTATATCTCTTTTTTGAGGAGTTGAAATTTGTAAAATACTTCTAATTTCAGGACTTGCATAAGATTGTTGATTAACTGTATTCAATTCACAGGTCACCTTCAGGGTTCAATATCCTCAAGATTATTCAGATCTTTCTAGGGAGGACCAGAAGGATTTCAAGCAGACTAGATATGGTATTCATTTCTTCTATAGTTCTATATCCTTTCAAATTCCACCAGTTTGATGGATATCTAGTTTGTGATATATATGTGAGTGCAAGACATTGCTTGATCTGCCAACCTTTTTTGTTCATGTGATGAATAAAACTCAACTAAGAACTAACTAATACCAATGAATATCCAGTTACATGGTAAATGATGATGACTACTCTCAATTACAATAATTTATAAGTTATAACATCTCTAAAAGCACTGGGATTAAATACCTCTTTTAAGGAGGGGCTAAAATACCTCACTAGGAGCAATATGTTTAGTGTACCCCACATTCATTTTCTATATCAAGAGCTATAATTAATAAACATTTGTGTATTATGCTGATGGACAATGTGATGTTTCCAGCTGTTGCAGATGCCTTAATTGATGCAGCATTGGTTCTAGGAGGGGAGGCCACGTTGAAAATCCTATACATGAAGCTGGTTGAGGTAAATATTGTTCTCTTTGATAATGTTAAACTTCTGTTGATTTTCCCAAAAGATTGTTTCAATTGTCTGCCAAACTTATAAAATCATGTCTCAACGGAGTTAAAATTTAGATATCATATCTTATTGGAACTGCTATATTTTTAGAGTTTGAAAATGTAGAATGTGACGTAACATGTGAGTCCAATGAGTTGAAGAGTTACAGATCTTGAGATTCTATGTGGGTGCATTGACAACTGGATTGGTCTAGTTGTTTAGCAGAATTGATTTCTTTTCCTGTTTTATTTTGTTTCTTCTCTATCTTTATGGTTTCATATAAATATTTTTTTAAATCAAAACTGATTTAGATATCAACGATTGCTGTGTCAAGGACACTCATCAGTTTTGTTGGCGACTCATTTTGCTTCTTTCCGCGATAGTTTATGGTATTTGTAGTAGTTTGAATTAGTCCTGGTGATGTATTCTTAGACGTTCTACTAAGTGGTGCCAAATAAGCTATAAAGGGAGGTGATTACCCAGAATGAGAGAGAAGGATAGATAAATGGTTTGAGCCTTTGAGACATTAAACAGTGGAACATGACATGTTTGGTGATTAATTTAGAAGTTTCACCCCCTTTTCTGACTGAGGTGGATAGAATGTATGAAATTTCATTCCTGGCTTTTGTAGTATCTTCCAATATATTGTCACTCTTGAAGTTTCTTTTGATGATTTTTGCAGGCTGTAAGTTGCTGTGCAACTGACTGGCGTCCAGCAGAGGCTGCCTTGTACTGTATACGAGCTATATCAGATTTTGTTTCTGTTGTTGATGCTGAAGTAATGCCCCAGGTATGAATATGTTTCACCCCCCACAGCCAAAAGAAAGAAAGAAGCCTCTCCAAAAGCACACACACAAAAACAAAGGACCTGTACTTTATTTCCTTAATTAGCATAACTGTTGTTGGTTTTTTGTGCAGATCATGTCTTTGCTTCCTAAACTCCCTCATCAATCCCAACTTCTTCAGACTGGTAATATACTTCTTTGCCTTCACTACTCCAAGTCTACTTCCCTATTCTCACCTCTTTGCATTGTTGTTGTTGGTTTTTTTTTTTTTTTTTTTTAAATGCCATCTCATATCTGGTAGTTAAAAATCTGTATTGTTTAACTATTGATTAACATTATTGGTCCATCTAACTTCCTTTCATCTGTCACTTCAATTTATTAGTTTGCTTAACAGTCGGAGCTTATTCAAAATGGCTTGATGCTGCCTCAAATGGATCCTCATTCTTGCCCTCACTATTAGATATCCTGGTGAGCGGCATGAATATGTGTGAAGATTCTGCCGCAGCAGCCGCGTTGGCATTCAGAAATTTATGCAGCGGTAAATGTTCTGTCAGTTGAGTCCATTACTATGTAGGTCATTTTATGGATCACAAGTACAAAGAGTCAAACTTCATTTCTATTTTTAAATGCTGTAAGATGCTGTATTTTTTCTGTACAAAGAGTCCATTATGGATGTGACGTCAGTCAAAAATCTAAAGATAAATCATCTTACCGATCAGAAAGAACTTTCTTGTGTTCAATCATGAAAAGTCTGTTGGTCATGCAGTCCTTTGTTTGATAATTTGGTGGTTTAGATGTTGGCTAGATCATACAGCATTGTTGTCAAATCGTGGCAGTCTGATTATTTATTTCAGGATTTTATTTAAGTATTGACACTTCACATTGTCCGTAGACTGCAAGAAAGAACTTCGTCGGTACATAGATGGCCTCTTTCAAATATATGAAAGGGCAGTAAGTGGGGAAGGCACCTTCAAGGTTTCTGATGAAGACTCATTGCATCTGGTTGAAGCCCTTAGGTATTTTTGATTTTTTGAAGCTCATCTTCCTATTAAAGAGTAATGTAAATTAATACCTTCATTGTCTTTGTAATTCTTTTTATTGCAGTATGGTTATAACAGAACTAAATTCTGAAAATGCTAAGAAGGCACTTGAGGCAATATGCTTGCCTGCAGTTTCTCCATTACAGGTTGCTCAAATTTCTAATGTTTTATTTACTCTATTCAAAATGACAAAATTAATTTATTATTTATGTGGTTACTTAGCAGGAGATAATCAATCAAGGTCCTGTTGTATTGGGGCAAAAAACTGCTCGTGAGCTAACTGTTCATATTGATCGACTTGCAAATATTTTTAGGTATGCCTGTGGTCTGTTTTGCCTTTCATTTCCTTTACCACTATATTTGTCCTCTGTTAACTCTAGTCTTTTGCAGACACGTAAACCACCCAGAAGCTGTTGCAGATGCAATTCAAAAACTCTGGCCAATTTTTAAAGCCATCTTTGACATGTACGAAAGCAGCTGATAATTTTGTTTTTGTTTTGTTTTTTGTTTTTGTTTTTTTTTTGTTTTTGTTTTTTTCCTGTCCATAATTGTGTTTTTCTTTCCTATTACAATATTACATGTATTTCCTTTTCTTCTTACTCAAAAAGTGTTGTCACAGTCGTGCATGGGATATGCGGACAATGGAGTCTCTTTGTAGGGCATGCAAGAATGCTGTGAGTTTGCTTATATTTTTCTCCTCCCTCTCAAGGATTGAATAAAGTTATGCCTATTCAGATTGTTTTCATATTTCTGGAAATACTCTGCAAACATGTTCTTTGTATTTTGTGTATTGACCTTGCTAAATTGTGCACTATCCAAATATCTGCTATCTGGCATCTGTGGCATGTGAATTGTGAAATGATTGCACTAACTATTCTTTGGGCATGCGAAACTTTATGAATTGTATTTTCTGTTATCTGTTAAAAGAAATTACATAATTTGAAATTTGTCAAAAAGGGAGGAAATTCAGTTTGGGAAGTAGATCCCCCCCACCCCACCCCCCACCCCCACCCCACCCCCTTCCTTTTAAAAGTTTGACATTAATAAAAAAGAAGAGAAATGCTGGCTAACCCCAGTGTCTTATAATCAAGCATGCGTGTTGGTGGGAAATGGTGCATGCTTAAGTTTTTAGCGTGTTTTAGGGAATATGGTGGATTCTTGTTAAGTGCCCATATGAGTAAATTATGTATCTAAACATGATTGCACGCATGCGTGAGTTTTCTAATGCAATTTGATGGATTGTTAGGAAGTTCCCACATATGTGAAAATGTGCTTCATATTGGTGTTTCATTCTAAAATGATAACTTGGATCTACCTTGGGAACTGTTTGACTCATTTAGAATTCAGTGGTTTTCTATTTCAGTATTTTAAATTCTTCACTAGTTGTGTTCTTGCTCTTAACAGAGAAGCAGTGTTTTGGTTACACTTTTGAAAATGTCACTGGTTTGTCTTCTTAGGTGCGGACGTCTAAACAGTTCATGGTAGTTACTATTGGAGCAATGCTGGAGGAAATACAAGTGTTGTACAGACAACACCATCAACCTTGTTTCCTTTATCTCTCTAGTGAGGTTATTAAGGTATGCCTGCTATTCTCTCTGATGACATTATGAGATCCAAGTATCCATAATTAATTAATTATTTGAGTAATCCTTGCAAAATTTGCTGCAGATATTTGGTTCAGATCCATCATGTGCTGGCTACTTGAAGATTCTGATAGAGTCTCTTTTTAGTCATACGACATGCCTGCTTACCAAATTCGAGGTATGGTTTCTGCTGTGCATAGTCTTGCTTCCTCTTCTTCACAAAGTATGCAAAATTTTGCTGATTGTATGATCCCTCTTCTAGGAGTTCACTTCCCGACCAGACATAGCAGATGATTGTTTTCTGTTGGCATCAAGGTGTATACGCTATTGTCCTCACCTATTGTTCCCATCTCCTGTATTTCCGTCGTTAGTGGACTGTGCTATGGTCGGTGTCACAGTGCAACACAGGTAACTCCCTCTGGCACACACATCTGTCATGATTAGAGAACTAAGTTGTCATTGGTATTTAGAGTCAATTGTTTAATAGAATTTTGGTAGAAAGCACATACTCTTTTGTTCAAACTGGTAATTGGGAACTGAAAGTACAATACCAGCATAGCCTATAGTTCGATCATATGCATTCTGCCTGGCTGCAGCTGTTTGAGTTTCAGAACCCTATAGAAAGGATAAGAATAAATTAGGAATGTCTTATTTGAAACTTTGTAAACCTGTGTCTGTAATGTTACATTCTCTGCAAGCATGTCAGTTTACTATGATGGCTATTGTAATGGTTCCATTTGGCTCTGTGGCTGGTAATGATATTATGAGTGGTCAAATCATTGAAAACAAACATAGAATCTAATCTTTAAGCTTGGGATTTTCATCTCCAACTTGCTTATGATAACTATTTTAGTTGGCTCGATATGAATATCAAGTTTCTACTTTACCTTGCAGGGAGGCTTCCAATTCAATATTGCATTTCTTATCTGATATATTCGATCTTTCAAACTCTTATCATGGGGAGAACTTTATATCCATTAGAGACAATGTAATTATTCCCCGAGGGGCTAGCATGACCAGAATTTTGGTTGCTTGCCTAACTGGAGCACTTCCTATTTCGCGGTTAGAAACGGTATAACACAAGTACTTGCATCTTGTTTATGTGTGTAAACATACATAAATACATACATATGCATCATTGCTTTGAGCTTTTTGTGTTGTAGGTATCTTATGCACTATTTTCCCTGAGTCGAGCATATGGGATAAAAGCTCTTGAATGGACAAAGGAGTGTGTTTCCTTAATCCCATCAACAGCCGTTACGGAGTTGGAAAAGGCTAAATTCCTACAAGCTTTATCGGAGGCAGTATCTGGGGCAAATATGAATGGTTTGATACTTCCCATTGAAGAAATTTCAGAGGTTTGCCGTCGTAATCGAACAGTTCAGGAGATTGTTCAAGGAGCTTTGAGGCCACTTGAAATCAAGATAGTGAATGTATCATAGTAGACAGCAATGTAGAAGGGCTGTTTTTTCCTAGCCCTCGTCTGCAGCCAGAAGTAGTTGTCCCATTGTTTGTTTTCGGGCTTATTTTCATTGTCCGGGGATTGGTATAGTTTGCATATTTAAATGCAGGTTGATGCGAGCTGAGGGATGCATTGTTGTATTTTTATTTTTATTTTTATTTTTTTGGTTGTGAAAAGTGTTCAGGAGTTGAGTAATTTACATTTGATCGGCACATCAATTTTCAACTTTTGAGTCTTGAGGGAGGGAGGGAATTTCCAGTTTTGGGGGGTGTAACTTTGAAGTGGGATTGAGTTTGTGTTTGGAGAGGGCTGTGTGGGTTGGTGTATAGAACATATGCGTCCAAACCATGTTAAAACTTGTGCAGTTGAATGAAAAACATGCTTCTCAAGATGAGACACCCTTTCTCCTCGATTGTTAGTTTTATAATATGAAAGTTTATGCAATAGGGGTGACTTGTGACTTTTGTTGACAGCAGTTCGACTATAACACTCTTTGCTTACAAAAATGTTATTTTTGTCTGAGTTTTTGTATAAAATATCGTACTAAATGATATATTTTTCATGTTTATTAATTATCCATGACATTCATTTATCAGATTGAAATCATGCCATGTTAGATTTTATATGATGGTTTTATTGGATCAGATCAGGCAACCATTATTGTGTGGATCTGAATTATACCATTAAATAATATATATTTAATACATAAATAATGTATTTTTAATATATTAAAAATTAAAAATTAAAAAATATATATTTTATTCAAGAAAAATATATTATTTGAATACTGAAAGTATATTATTTTATACAATGTGTATTCAGTACATGAATAACATACTTTTTAGTATATTAATAATGTATTATTTGTTATTGCTCACATAACACTAGGTGGATTATGATTCACACAATAATTTGCCAGGAATTAGATTGTCAAATGTCAAGTGTAAAATTAATCACAAAAGTAAATATTAAAAAGTTAGATGTTGGGCCGTTGGTGGGTCTTTTGTTTCTTAATCAATAATTTTGGAATTGTGCACCCACGGCGCATATAGCAATGTGCGCTCAGGTACAAAGCGCGCACGTTTCATGTTGATGTCGTGCTGATGTCACTCCGTCCATCCAAACAGACCAAATCTCATTTTGTGTATTCAGTTAAAATTTTATGTGTATTGTGTTATGAGTTTATGTATATTCAGTTAAAAGTTTATGTGTATTATGTTAACCAAACTCATTATGTGTATTCAGTTAAAAGTTTATGTGTATTGTGTTATGAGTTTATGTGTATTATGTATTATGTTAGATTATGTGTATTCTGTTATGAATTTATGTGTATTCGAAACAGAGAATTTTTTTTAACAATTTAACAAAATGATGTCGTTTTGAGAAGTGCGGGCACATATTGCTATGTGCACCCTGATGCACGGTATAACGATTGCAAATTATGGGTCAGGGAAGTTTCGTAGTTTTTTTTTTGGAAAAAATGGAGAATGATTGAATGATGATGCCTAATAATTTTAGACCACTTATCGTCAGATACTCCCCTAGCCCCCAAAGCACCTTGGTAAAAAGGCTGATACGCAGCTACTTGTGTCCGGGGATGGGGGCGCTAGCCGAGTGGGTGGTCAAATGATGCCCCCCACCCCCATCTCTTTATGTTCTTGACCCAATTTTTCAATTTCTTGCAAAGCAATCCCCAAGCTTATTCTTACTCTTGCACTATATGATTTCGAGTTTTATGTCTCTTATCATTTTTGACCGTATACTTTACCCTTGCATTTTAGGACGTTATACTTTATGTGATGAAGACATGACTACAACAATTTAAAAGATCAGTTCAAAAATTATGAAGAAGAAGGTTCTAGAAAGCTCATTGAACCTAGTCATCATTGAAATGAAGTCATGTAGTTATATTAGTTAATTAAAATGAATTTATGTTAAATTTAATGCTAGGAGACTCTTAACTCTTTGTTTTCCCTTTGAAAGTTATGTATTAGCCAATTTAAAGGCTAATAAACACAATCAGATTTTAGGAGATATAGATGAATAAAGTTGAATGAAAGAAATGCTAAGGCGTTTTGTTTTCTCTCATGTGATTTGGGAGATGTTCTTTTAGGCTTATCAAGATAATACCAATCTTGTAGTGCCATCCATTCCTTATCACCTAAGACCAAGATGTGACGGAAATATCTTTACAAAAAAACACAAAAAACAATTTCAAATCCAGCCCCTACATCAACCAATTCCATCTCTAACACCAATAAACCGTAGTTCCTGTTCCTGCTGTTTTGGTGAGGAAAAGATCGAGCCACCGGAGGACTCTTTGGTGAATTGACTGTCGAGTTCATCCCCAAAGATCAGTATCATTATGTCTTGTTGCATTTGACTTCCAAACGTTCCTCCCTTATTCACTTTATACTTATCCCTTCGATATTTGCACTCGTACTCCCTAAACTTTGATCATTAGTCCAATTTGCACATCCTAACTCTCTTTCTTTTGTATATAAGTTCTCAAAATCTTACACATGGGTTCTAATAAGATCATTTTTCGAACGTCATTAACCCTTTGGCCTCAATTCCTCAGGCCCAATCGGCTTTGGACCTAGAGCCAATGCCTCTATTACGAGTCCCCTAATTTTTCTAGTTGTTTGGATAACTAATGGAAGTAGTAAAGACTAAACCCTACCACCTCACATCATGTTTTTTGCACTCACTTATCCATGCCTAAACTCAGGCCCGGATTTTGGACCGTGCAAGCTGAGCTACTGCACAGGGCCCCACATTTTAGAGGGGCCCCAAATTTTAGAAGCTCAATATTTTATTTTTACCTAGTTAGTTTAGAAATAAAAATTAAAAGTTTTTAATTAAACCTAAAAGGCTTTATAAAGAAATGGTAGGAACATGTATTTATTGTATTTTAACTTTAAGGTTAAGGTTCAAAACTTGTGCACACTATTATTATTATTCCATAATATGTCTATTTTTACTTGTGCATTGCACAGAAAAGATTTGTTATAATCTTTAAATTATAACAACGGATATTATATAGTGCAATTAATGAAATGAGTTGTATCGATTATATTTTTTTATGTTATCCTTGCATGAATTCGAGCAAATAATTGCCCAATTATCAGTGCAGTGTGCGTGCGATGCACAGATAATTTGTTTTTTGTGTTATATATTTTGATAATAAAATTACGGTATTAATTTTAAAGATTTTAATTTTGGTAGGGCCATATTTATTTACTCGAACAGGACCACAAAAATCTAAAAATCGGCCCTGCACTCATTTACAGATTTACTTCAGTTCTGGCCATCCACTATTTTTACGGCATATTACGGCACTTGCACTCTTTTTTACTTTAATTTCTGTTTTTCATTTCATCCCCCATTTTGGAAGAAGAAGAATGATCATGCTATCTTGCCTGACTTTGTCACTTTGTCAGGTATTTCACTATTTTAAATATTATTTGATATTATTTTATATTGAATTAATTTTAGAATGTGTCGCTATAATTAATATATATATTTAATTTTGTGCATTGCAGCTGGGTCTGATAATAATTTTGAAACGAGTCGGTAATGCTGAGAACGGCATATTGAAGCATCCATTCAATATAGTCGTTCTTGTTCTTCTTGCACTTAGCATTGCGTCCCTTGCCATAGTAGGAGGTCCTTATGGATGGACTTCTCGCACATACCCTTTGGAGTTGGCAAGATTAGGAGGTAGTATTGAATATATTGGTAGTTTATTTGTTACTCAGGCTGGTGCCCATGGTTCCTAAAATAATATGTGCACTGAATGAACGAGTATTTTTATTTTTTAGTATTTCGGTATTAGGATATATGTTATTTATTTGGCGTTTTGTAATAGATTAGGATAGAACAAATTTGTAAGAATATTTTTGTTATGAAGAATAATTATTATTGTTAACTATTTTGTTTTATTTTTATCAAAAAGTAAACAACATTTTTTTTTTAGTATCATTGGCTCTATTACATTGTAGTATCTGTTCATATACTTTCTCAACCTACTGAAACATAAAGAACCAATAATGCCTCCACTGAGGCTCGAACTCACAATCTTCCAAATGAAAGTCCAACCCGGATACCATTAGACAACATAGTCCTGGTAAGTAAACAACATATAACTATATATGTATAACTACATATAACTATGTAATGCATGCATCAAAAATATTCTTATGAGATAGGGCTGGCTATTTTTACTTTTACAACTTAAACATTGAATTGGGAAATCAAATGGAATGGAAATGATATAATAATCACATTCCTATGAAATTATATATAAATACCAAAGCCCCAGACATGGACTTGTAGGGCATATATATATGTTCCTACATACTTTCTCATGTTTACACCCACCCTTAGGGTTGGGGTTCAGCCTTTTGGAAGAATGTTTACACCCACCCAATCACTGCCACTAATTGCTCTCTTATCATAAAGACACATTGCACGCACACTGCACGGATAATTGGGCAAATAATGAAATGGGTTGTATCGATTTTGTTTTTGTTTTTGTTTTTTTTTTTTTTTTTTTTTAATGTTATCCTTGCATGAATTCGAGCAAATAATTGCCCAATTATCCGTGCAGTGTGCGTGCGATGCACGGATAAATTTTTTTGTGTTATATATTTTGATAATAAAATTACGGTATTAATTTTAAAGATTTTAATTTTGGTAGGACCATATTTATTTACTCGAACAGGACCATAAAAATCTAAAAACCGGCCCTGCACTCATTTACAGATTTACTTCAGTTCTGGCCATCCACTATTTTTACGGCATATTACGGCACTTGCACTCTTTTTTACTTTAATTTCTGTTTTTTATTTTATCCCCTGTTTTGGAAGAAGAAGAATGATCATGCTATCTTGCCTGACTTTGTCACTTTGTCAGGTATTTCACTATTTTAAATATTATTTGATATTACTTTATATTGAATTAATTTTAGAATGTGTCGCTATAATTAATATATATATATATATATATATATATATATATATATTTAATTTTGTGCATTGCAGCTGGGTCTGATAATAATTTTGAAACGAGTCGGTAATGCTGAGAACGACATATTGAAGCATCCATTCAATATAGTCGTTCTTGTTCTTCTTGCACTTAGCATTGCGTGCCTTGCCATAGTAGGAGGTCCTTATGGATGGACTTCTCGCACATACCCATTGGAGTTGGCAAGATTAGGAGGTAGTATTGAATATATTGGTAGTTTATTTGTTACTCAGGCTGGTGCCCATGGTTCCTAAAATAATATGTGCACTGAATGAATGAGTATTTTTATTTTTTAGTATTTCGGTATTAGGATATATGTTATTTATTTGGCGTTTTGTAATAGATTAGGATAGAACAAATTTGTAAGAATATTT